GCTAACATGGGACACAACTATACAACTCTTATTTTCATTCTGTCTTATTTCCTGTCCACTTCAAGGTCATATCTGTAATCTATGTAGGATTGATAACAGAACAGAAATATTAAAAAGGCAAAAGACAAAGCAGGGTTTTGTCTGATAAATCTTCTATCAGTTTTCCTTGCACCAAGTATGATACCCAGCCCACAGAATCACATGGTATAGAATATTTAATAATAGAAGAAATTGAAAATATGTATGTAAAAATATAGAGAGATATGATTCAAAATTATGCATAAAAATATTGGAAAGACATGCACCAAAATGGTAACAGTTGTTAGGAATGGGTTAGAAGATTACAGCAACAAGGAGTGAGGGAGGGATGGGAAAAATATATATTTCAAAAATTGCAGTGACTTATTTTCTTTTCCTGTGCTTTTGTGAGTCTTCCCAAATTTCTACAATTAATAAATTCTAAAATCAGAAAAAACATTTTTGTTACAAAGACATTTTTCCCAGAAAACAATGTTTCCAATGAAGCTGTGTTAGATACAAAATCAGTGACAGTGATAATAAGAATAATTAATATTTAGCATTTCCTGTGTGCCAAGCCCTGTAGTAAGTACTTTACAGAAAGCATTTCATTTAGTCCCCATCCTCTAATGTAAATATTGTTCTGACCCTCATTTTGCAAACGAAACAACTCAAGTTATTTGTGTGAAATCAAAGAGCTGGAAGTGGTTATGCTCCAGATGTGAACCCAGGATCGAACTCCAGGACTCCCACACCCATGTGCCAACCACCAGGCTTCCTGCCTCTAACCATGCTGCTTCCCAAAAACCTCACCGTTCTGTTTTTTACTTTCATGTCTTCTTTGCTATTTACTGATTCTCATCCCTTTTTGGGAGTGTTCAGAAACAAACAATGTATGCATTTCTGGCATGTGGAGGCAATCAGGCAACCACTACACATAGTTCTCTGCTGTGAACACCATCACCTTCCCCAAGGAGGACACAAGAACATGAGAATTAAAAAGCAAACCCTCCAACTGTCAGCTCTCATGGTACCACGAACCTCTCCTTCCAAACACTTGGTCACACCTGCTCTCTACGTTTGCTTGCTGTTTGATTGCTTCTACCTGCCGACCACTTTTCAGAGCATTTTGCATGCGTTACTTTTCTTCTCACCATTACAGTTTCCACTTTACACAAGGAAACTCAGGCCCAGAGATGCTAAGAGACTTGCTGAAAGTCTTAGAGCTGAGGTTTGAATTCTAGAGTCATCATTCTCAACTCAATAAAGAATGAAGGCACACCTCTCCATTTTCTAAAACATGTTCTCTCATCAGGATTGCTTCATTTTATTTCTGTATGTCCTAAATATTTCATATAAATCGTACTTCTAATATTTTTAATTATATTTTTCAACTGGTTATTTGAGATACTTAAGAAAATTTGTTTACATGTTAGCTTTGTATCCTTCATAAACTTACTGAACTGTCTCATTAACTGTAGTAACTTTAGTTGATTCTCCATTATATCAGCTACATAATCTCCTAATTTCTATAAATACAAATTTTGTCTCCTCCTTTCCAGTATAAAGATATCTTTATTTCATGTTGTACAACTACACTGTCAGAACCCTCCCAAAACTACATTAATAGCGAGAGCAGGCATCTTTGTTTTGTATTTTATTTCACTGGGGATGCTCCTACTGACTCAACATTAAGTATGACACCAGTTATTGGCTTAATGTAATACCCTTCCATTGTGTTCAGGAACTAGTCTTTGAGTCCTATTTGACTAAGAGTTTTTATCAGGAATGAATACTAAACCTCATCAAATGTACTTCCTAAGCAGATAATTATGACTATCCTCCTAGCTATTCATGACAAATATTATTAATGTATTTTATATCATAAAACCATATTTTCTATTCTAACTCTACCTGATTTGACTATAGTTTTTAATATATGAAAATAAAAATTAGCTAATTTTGTTTAATGTTTCATGCAGTTCGAATTTTATTTATTTTGGTTTGAATTGTTACGATTTTTAAAACTACATCCATAGCTATTCACTGCCTGTCTCCCAGCTCTCTTTACCACCTCCCACCAGGCCTAATTCATCCCCAACATGAACAGAGCCACTTTTCTGGATCACACATGTGGCTACTTCTCTCTTACTCTCAGAAACCTACAACTTCACCATGTTTCTGTATTACAAAGTATACATCTTTTAGCATGATAATTACTGTCCTTTATAAGATGGCCCCAAACTATCTTTTTTTAATCTTCACTTCAACCATGATTCCCAAATAACACTGACTTGGGATTCCTTTTCTCATGATTTTCCCAAAAAAATCCTTCCTTATTTTCTTCACTGGGACAACTCTTTTCTTTCTTGGGCCAACACACTGCCACCTCATCTATGTCCCTCCCCAGTCCTCCCTGTTACTTCATCACAGAGAACCAAGTATACAGGTCTCTGTTGTGGGACTTGCCCCCGCCCGACTTGTGTAGTTACTCATTTGGAGCAGAGGTCAGCAAACTGTGAAGAGTCAGACGGTAAACATTTCAGGCTCTCCAGGTCTCATGTGCACATTTCTATTAAATTTTCCCCTGCATTTTAATAAGGTAAAAACCATTATTAGCTCACAGGCCATATGAAAACAGGCCACCAGAGATCAGCAGTAATTTGCCTCTCATGGTTTAGAGGCTCATCACCCACTGGACTATAAGCTAGCTGAGAGAGGGGGAAATCTCTAACCCATCTTCATAATCTTCAGCTCCTGGTGCTTGGAAGATGTTCAAATCGCTGAAGTTGATTGACTGAGAACACTGATAACTAACATATCCTGATGAGTCAGATATACATCCATGGACAATTATTTCCCCAAATCTTGAGGTATTTCAACAAAAAGTAATTTTGGATTTTGAGTCTCTAAGGCATCTGGGCATTAAAAATGAGCCATGTCCATGGGGATAGCAGAGAGGTAGTCTGAATTTCACTTGTTCAATAAATAAAATGAGGCTTTTTGCCTCATTTAGTAAGAAAAACTATATCAACCAAAGAGCCTCTCCCTCTCCAAATATAGAAAAAGTGCTTCTCTGATCGCAGAGTTCACAACTACACTGCTCCCTGGCCTCACAGAATAACACCAACTAACTCCAACTTTTCAAGTAACCCACTCAGCTTCTCATCCCAGAAAATCATCCAGACTTTTGATGCTGTTTTGAGTATTTATCATGTATCCAGCCTAGCTATCAGTGATCCATTTTCCTCCCATCTCCTGAAAACTGGGGAGAAAACATTGTCTAAATCACTAAACGCAAAAGAAACAACTGTCAGTTTTCATTATTATTGCTAACACCCTGCTCCCTGATTCTCCCAACCAGAAATGTCCAGAAATGTGAAGGTCGCCCCTCTCTGGTTAAAAAAGCCACACTGTTAAATTGTTAAAGATGTATGGTACTTATAGCATAATTTCTGTCATAATTCCAGGGACTCAATTCCTTGCTTACTAGGACTCACAACAGTATGAGCCGGGGAGGAAGGGCTGGAAGCCAGAAACAGACATAGCCATTGTTAAGAAGAAATGGCCCAGTTGTGAGCCTACTTTCTGAGGCCAAGAGTCCGGCATTAAGTTTCCAAAGGAATGAAGCAAACTTGAGGTTAATTCCATTCACATCTATATAAGCAGGTCTACCTGGTCCCAGCAGAGCAAAACAACAGAAAGTCTAGACAATGTTAATTCTGCAAGCCAGACAGAGCTTTTAAAGGAGTCCAGCCAGTATCAAGCCCCCCAGCCTGAGACTATAGCCCCCGTAACGAAGCTAGCCAAGAGCTGGATGATGTGCTGGGATCTCCCCTCTGCAGGCTGGGGTTCAAGGGAAGACCCCAGGTCTAGCAACTGTCTGAAGTGTAGAGCAGAAAGATGCAGTCAGAGTGGGTCACTCTGTAAGGAACAGGTTATACCCAGCACAGCCTCCACCCAGCATGGCTTCCAGTTCCTAAGGTGGTTTTCAACAAAACAAATTCTAAACTCTACTTCCTAGCAGAGATGAGGTACTTAATGTGCTCTAGAATGAGGATGAATCTGGAAATTATTGCCAGTGAGGGAGAGCCAGTGAAAACCCACCTTCTGGGGAAAAAATTAGTAGCCCTCAAAGGACTTGGTCAGATGGCCAAGTCATATGGAGGACCTGGCTCCATGTACATTAGCTATCCCCCAGGAGAAGCCATTATTTCACACATAGAAGGTCCTGAATTCAGTATCTGTTTATGAATTGTCATTGCGATGAATCAGGCTCTGCCCAGTGAAGAACCACATCAGCCCAGGGCCCCCTCAGCATGCCAGGGGAGCAAGTGTGCCTCCTTCTACTCCCAGCCCATGGGTACATGCTGCTCTGTGTTTCTCTTTTAGGGGTTTCCCAAATAAAATTATATCATTGTATGTGACAAATACAAAATCAGAGTTAAAATGTCCTTGTAATAAGAGGACTAAGAATACGAACAGGAATAAGAGGGGCAAGAAAATGACAAATGTTCCACATATACAGGGAGTGGATGGGAATCAGAGCTGTCAGCAGGTCTCTCAAACTCTTGATATCACTGGGTACACAGCTGAACCTCTGAGCAGTGTGTTCCTAAAGTAGCCTGTGACCCTGACCTGTTTATAATAAACAGGTGCTTCCCTGCTCAAAACCCCGGTTTTCTCACAGTGCATTCAGAAACGCCAGCATCACTTGCAGCCAGGTGGTGATGCTGAAGCATGTTCCATACTCTCTTCACACGGGCTCACCACACTAAAAACAGTTCAAGTACCAGTGATTAAGTAGAAAGATGCATGCTTTTGAAAAGTAGAGGATTTGGTTAAATGTGTGGATGGCAATCTACACGTGGAAGCAAAGAAATCAACCAAAGTTAAAACATAAATTAGTGAATCAACAGTGCTTTGCTAATCATGCAAAAGGTAAGAATAGCAAACATAGAATAGAAGGTGTGGTACATTACCCAAAAGCCCTGCCAAAGACCGCATGTCCTTCTCCATCAGCATGTAAATCTCTTCCTCGGAGAAGCGGCCAATGCCGTGGCCGTGCATCTCGCGTTTCACAATTCCTTTCGTTATGTGGCACACGACCCACCTCAGCAGGTTGCTGAAGGGACCACCACCACTAAGAGAGAGCATCTTCCGGGTCTCATTGAGATTGTCCACCCACTGGCAATAAGCTAACGTCCTGGAATTGTGTGGAAACAAGTTACTACTGTGCATCAGGTACATGTCAGCTCCACAGGGTCACTTTAGAATGAGTCATTCAGAATTCAGTACACTCTGAAGGAACTGAATAACTGCAGCTTTAACAAAGAGCAATCTGCATGGCAGATATCACAGCAGGCTCTAGTCAATACCTAGACTTAAGGGGTTGTGGAAGAAATGGGAAAAAATCCAGATAAAGATGCCATCAAACCTGGTGCCCACCCTCAGACCTCTCCCCTCCCCTCCCAATGCCACATTTCTGCCTTCTCTCACACAACCCCACAAAACACCAGTAGAAACCCACTTGAAAAGTCTTTGAGTCAGGATAATGAGCACTCCTGGGGGCACAGGGCAGGAGGCAGTAGTGACTGGGATGCTGGCCTCATTCTCTTTCCTGAGCAAAATGATGGTTCCACGGGTTTATGCTTGGTGTTCATTAATTAAGCTGCACATTTCTGTTTTGTATACTTTGCATATGCATTTTACATTTCATGATACAAAAGGGTTTAAAAAAAAAAAAAAAAGAAAGAAAGAAACCTTTTTGCCTTTTTTAAAAAAGACACAGGGTCTTGCTATGTTACCCAGGCTGGACTGTAACTCCTGGGCTCAAGTGATCCCCCCACGTCAGCCCTCGGAATAGCTGTGACAATAGGCATGCATCACCACAACCAGCCTTTTTGCTTTTTTGAGAGAGAATTAGGGAGTGCACCTGGCCATCTTTATTATAAATTAAATATTATGTAAATGATTTGCTCTCCAAGAAAATCAACTCTACCTCAGTTTGTCCTCAAGAACTCTAAAGGGAACACAAATGTCCATGGAACTTGGTTGAACCCTTTTTCCCATCTAGGTGATACTAGTGATAAACCTGCTCATTCGGGTGCTCCTGAAAACAGTGTAATCTGTATGGAGAGTCCAGCAGCTATTCACTGTTCAAACATTTTGCTAGCTACCATACCCAGGTCTTTGCTGATTTTTTTCTCCAAACAGCAAGAATTTTTTTTACGGCTAAAAGTGTTGGTAGATAGAAATTAAAAGGGTTTTCTACTGAAGGCTGTGAGAATGTAGCTGTGTGGGAGTACAGGTATAAGACATTTTCATTTTCCCTCATAATGAGTAATAAGATATATTAGCAAACATCTCTACCCGTAACGCTAGTTGATACAGCAGTAATGGCCACTTCAAAAAATTCAGAAGCCAGATGTGGTACATTCCTGTAGTCTCAGCTACTCGAGAGGGCCAGGCAGGAGGATCGCTTGGGCCCAGGAGTTTGAGGTCAACCTGAGTACCATAGTGAGACCATTGTATCAATCAAACAATAAAGACTTAGAAATAAAAAGAAATTCATGCAATTGGAAAGTGGCAGAGCCAGAATGCTGCATTTTTAAAGTTTTTTTCTTTTAATCAAAGAGGTAAAAAACATTTTGAGAGAGAACTCAAGGGATGATAGTAAATCACAGCTATGATAAAATGCTGTTTTCCACCTAAAGAAAAAAAGGCATTTTGATCATTTTATATAGTTCTGTTCTTTAAGAGTTTTCTGTGCTAAAAACAAATAAAAATAAGAAATAGATTTCTCTAAAATTGTTGCATTCCTGATTTTTACCAAAACGTCTTACAGCCAATTTCAACATACTCCCTGTGCCATAGCTATAGCTGTTCTTTGCTACCTTTTTAAAAGAATGCCCACAAATCTTGTTAGAAAGCTTTGTTGCCTCTTTTGGTAAGTCTCTCAAAATAAAGTACTGAAGAATCAAGAAATAGTTTTTCCCCAAAACAGGAAGAAGTACATCACAATAGTGATGAATTAATGTATATAGTCAGAGCATTCCATTGATGTTTCAATACAGAATATCTTGCATTTTTTCTAGTAAATTCTATATAGACATAGAAACAAAATGTTTTCCTACTTGCTCCTTTTTTCACATCTGCAGTAATCAAGGTGGCAATTTTCACATTCCATTAGAATAATTCAGCACTTTGATTCTAATTGTACTAGGTCTAAATTCACAACAAAAGAGTACACAACCTTTTACCATTCTGGACATCAATGGTCTTAGCATAAAACTCAATTATTCTAAATTGAACATGTCCAAGTAATAATAGCATCCGAAAAAAGCATCTAAAGTGGGAAAATGCAGAATGTGTGGCTCTAAGCTGACAGGTTAGAAGGGGGAAAAAATCCTTTGTGACAAATTACTCAGGTTTAATCAGAAGCATAACTGATCAGGCTCACTGGGCAGATCAGAGGGTGAAGGCGGGCACATGAAGAGCATCGGCGGCCTGATAACTGCAAGAACTTTCGTAAGGAGCACATGGCTACAGGATGCCTTTGGGGAAGCCTGGAAGAGGGAGGCTGGAGGTGCGGGCATGGGCCTGGTCAGGACAGGCCTAAGGAAAGGGAGCTGGACTTTATTCCCTAAGCAAAGGTTAACTGCCAGAAGGCTTTAAACAGACAAGAAACATACTCAGATTTGTGGCAGTGTAAAGGAAGAACTGGAAGGTGGAAAAAATGCTGGCAGGAAGGCCAGTTACCACACTACAGCAAAACCAGGCAAGAGATGGTGCGCTGGCTGAGGCAATGGCAGAAGGAATCCATAGGAGAAACGATGCAACAGAAGAAAAAGAATCAATTGGACTACGATGGATCTAAAGATTTATCAGTAAGGAGAAATTAGATATTTTATTCTAAAATAACAGTTTGATTGGATGATAACACCACTAACCAATATCAGATTACACAAGGTAGAACATATTTTGGGTGATGAAAGATTAGTTAACCTGTAGCATTTGAAGGTCCCGTGGAAGCCCTAGGTGAAGATGTCTAGAAGGCTGAGAAGTCAGGAGATTGGTTTAGACTCCAGCTAGAGAACTGGTGAGCAGGGGCATGTTGGTGGTGGTTTTATAGCTGTGAGAGGAGATGAGGTCACTTTAGGAAGTTTCTAGAGTGTTGAGGAAACCACAGTTCAAGGGCAAGTTAGAAGATGTGAAGGTCAGGCTGAAAGAAGCAGCCTGGAGAGAAGTAGGGACATCTTTCTCTGCGCTGGAGAGAGAGTGTTGTAAGAGGTGAGGGGCTACAGAGAAGTTTCGAGTTCCTGCCTGATGACTTCAGCTTCCTCTGTAGCAGAGGAAATGAGAGCACGCACACCAGGTAAAATCACAGCAGTAGAGAGTTTTAGGAGTAGCAGGCAGGAAGAGAGAGGCAGCTATTCTGGGCCACACAGCTTGGCAGGGAGGAGTCTCTGCCAGTGCAATGGTGCGAGGTTCTCTACCTGCAGCAGGCTGAATGCAGGACACAGAAGAAGGAACACTGTGTGGGTTCAGAATTTCACAGCTACAAGTAACCTCAGAAACTGTCTGGTCTTCCTACCTTGCTCTTGATTTTTCTTCTTTTCTTTCACTCTCTGTGCCCAATATTATCTAACAGTGTCAGAGAAGAGAAGTAAATGACGGCCAGGCAGGCTCTTTAAGGGTTGAAGGCAGTGAAATGTATATAAACTTTAAATAGCAAAGAAAATAGATTCCTAAATCAACTACTACAAGCAGAAGACATCACATTGTATGTTTCCGTGTTATTGCAAACAAGAATCCATCTCCTCTCACAACCAAGATTCTTGAAAACTCTGTTCATGTGGTTGAAGCCTCTACCCTAATCACTCCACCAAAATCACTCTTGTTCAAGTCAACAGTGCAACATCTAAATAAACCATCTTTCTATATTCTTGAACTCTCTAAAGCATCTGACACTATTGGCCTCTTTCTTGGAACTCTCCCTTAGCTTACACCTCTATTATTTTTCCTTCCACCCCTTACATATTCCCAAGATCTCTATCTTCATTCCTCTCTTCCTACTTCGCACTTGGGGAGCCATCTAACTCACACTCATGACTTCACACCCATGTTTCCCCATAGCCAGCCCTCTCCTGAGATCAATGGATCCCATGTGGGTGACCCTCAGGAGGTGCAAACCAACATTTCCAAAATAGCATTCATCATCTTTGTTCCATTCAAACTTGATTCTCCGTGCCCAAGCCAGGATCCCAGGAGTTCTCCACTATCCCCTCTCCCTCACTCCTGACAGTCAGTCACCCTGTGAATTTGCCCTTTCTCCAACTCCATAAACACTGCAGTTCAGCCCGTCATTATTTCTTAACTACGAGGCACACGGCCTCCTACCAGGTCCCCTGACATCTCTTCAAGGCCCTTCAGAAATCCATTTGCTCCCAGGGACACAAAGAACTTCCTAAACACAAACCTAGTCATAACACTAATGCTTCTTAGAGTCATTCACTAACTCCCCACAGCTTCTTTGCATGGCACACCAGCTCTTCTCCCCACATTGTAACCCCTCTATGACCTGACCCTTCTCTGGCCCCATCTCCCAGCACTGACTCCCATGCACCCTATGCACAAGCCATACAGAATTACATGTACCTTCCTGCTATAGGCTGAACATTCACATCCCTCTAAAATTAATGTGCTGAGACCTGACCCCCAGTGTGATGGTATGTGGAGGTGGAGCCTTTGGGATATGATTAGGTCATAAGGGCAGAGCCCTCAGGAACAGGGTTAGTGTCCTTATAAAAGAGATCCCAGAGAGCTACCTCGCCCCTTCCACCACATGTGATTACAGGGAGAAAGATGACTGTCTATGAAGCAGGAAGCTGGCCTCACCAGACACTGAATCCACTGATGCTTTGAACTAGGACTCAGCAGACTCTGGAGCCATGAGAAACAAACCTGTTGTTTATGAGCCACCCAGTTGAAGGTATTCTGTTACGGCAGCTCAAATGGCCTAATATACTCTCCAAATGCCTCCTCCTTCCTTGCCTCTAAACTTCTGTGGATGTTGCTCCCTCTGCCTGGACATCCTAACCTTTCCCTATCACCAGCCCCTCATCTGCCATTCCAACTGTCCTTGGATTCCATTTTGACAATATCTCCTCTGCAAAGCCTTCCCCTCTTCTCTCCAGTAGTGGCTGGCTGCCTTTCTTTGGTTCTTCAAACCCTTCCCCAGCACTATTACAAAGACTTGATGTCTCCCTCCAGCCCTTGAGCCACTTGATGACAGGTATACCATCCCAGCCACTAATAGTCATTCATTAAGTTTGCAGAAATAGTGAATTACTGATGAAATGAAAAAAAAGGCTTTGCTTTTGAGCCAGATACTACTAAGTAGTGTTCCTAAGGGATGACACATACTTAAATAGAAAAATGGGGAAAGAGACTAAGAGACATGCCTATGGAAAACAAAGAAGGGGCTGCCACTTTTCTCTTGGAATCCACGGCTCTTCACTCTCCCCTGGGAAGAGGCCCACTGCAAAAGGAATCATGAATTATTAACTTCAGAGGACAGGGAGGGTCAAGTTGGAAAGCAGACAAGGCTAAGCAATTAAAGTAATTTATCATTTTGAGAATCTATTTCAAGAAGTTGAAATACTTATTTTCCTTATCACAACTAATGTATCTTATCTCTTCTGCAAAGACTGGGTCAAAGAGATTTTTTTTAAAGACTGTCTTAGAACAGAAGAACAAAACTTGCTCAAAAATGTTTAAAGGCGAACAAGAAAACAATCAAAGAGAAGCTGACCCCTGATATTTTAATGAAGATATCACACATTATAACTTAATACCTGGCCCATGATAGAAATGAACATGTATAAGTGGAAACCCATATCAAATAATAATTTGATGACTGAGTATCAACACTTGGCCTTCCAAATCATGAGAATGCCTTTCTCTGCATAGAGCTACATCCTTGCTGTCATTTGCTTATGCTCTGAATATCTGCTCAAAAATATAGGAGCATATGATATGTTTCTGCAGTTTCACCAAGTTTCACAAGCATTAGATCAACCCCTTCAAACAAGGGCCCCCACTACATCTAAAACTGCGGTGGGGAGAAAAGAATGAAAAGAAGAACATAAGAACCAAGTAATCAGAAAGAGTAGTCTCTTGGCTTTTAGAAAAGATCCTCTTGTTAAAGTCAATTTATGAAAGTATCCCATCTCCTCCCATCTCTAAAACTACACTCAAAATTTTAAAATTATGGCCAACCTAGAAGTGAGTTTGAATTCACTGTTCTAATGCCTGTATGTGCATGCACACACACACACACACACACACACAGAGGCATTAGAACAAGGAATTTTTGTTATTTTTTTTTAGAGACACGGTCTCACTCCATCACCCAGGATGTAGTGAGGTGGCACGATCACAGCTCACTGAAGCCTCAAACTCCTGGGCTCTAGAGATCCTCCCACCTCAGTCTCCTGACTAGCTGGGACTACAGTGTGTGCCACCATGCCTGGATAGCGTTTTTGTAGAGATAGGGTTTTGCCATGTTGCCTAGAGTGGTCTCGAACTCCTGGGCTCAAGAAATCCTCCCACCTCAGCTTTACAAAGTGCTGAGATTACAAGCATGAGCCACCATGACTGCCCCTAATGGCTATATTTTTATGGGTGAAAATATTACAATAACTACATAGTCTGAAAAGGATACCCGTATGGGGTTGAAAGACTGAAGATGCTCACTGACATCCACAAGGGGGCAGTATGTCACACTGAAGAAGCTGTAGTGTGCTACCAAAAATCAATTTTGTTCCAGTAATTTGATCCCATGTCTAGCTGACTTCCCTTTACACCAGCTTCTCTGTACTTAAGCAATCAGTAGAACAAAGGGGATTTTTAAAAACTGTGTTCTTGATCTTCAATAATAGTTTTAATAATGCAAGGGGAACATCATTGTATAGATTTCAAGTGGAAGAAAAGCCACTTTAGAGCTGAGTGTGTTTATTTAAATAGACCTAAAACAGTTTCAGAATTATGTGATGTAAATAACAATGCTAGCTTTTCATTGCCTTTGCTTTTCATAAAATCATACCTGGGGTGTTTTTAAGGTTTCAGGCCAAAATAAACACGAAAACTCAACATAACTGAATCAATTGAGTCAAACAAGGTAGGTTTATTAAATTTCCTCTTCTGGCTCTGTGAGTATAGACACAACCTAAGAGCTCATTGACTGTTAGAATTTAACAGGATGTCATGGAAAGCTCATCATTGTAATATTTTCCTACATATTTTGGTCAGATCCCTATATGCTGGGCCTCGGCTTTCATGGGTAGACATTTCGTTTGTGGCCTTGGAACCCGAAGAGAGGAGGAGGGGAGGTGCCTGAGGGAAGAGTATCTTAAGATTCTCTGCCTGGGGCATGGGGAAAGGAGGGTCTTTTCTCCATTGGGATTTAGAGCTCTCCTAAAAGTCTCTTCAGGGTTTCCCCAAAACAAGAAGTTGGCTAAAGGCTTGGAAACCTTAAGAAACAGAGAGAGACTTGTTTTTCCTTCTGCTACTAGAGACTAAATAGAACTGTAGGAATTAGCAGTGTTAGTTTGAAAGTTTATGAGACACGTGCATCTCAGTCAAGACCTTTCCTCCCACCTTCACTATTTTTTCCTCAAATTAACCATTGAGAAGACATAAGCAAGAAATAATAGCTAACCCCGCCAACATTTTTCAAATTAAAAAGTGAATTAGAGAAATGTAATTGTCTTAGAAGAGTCTACATACGACCCAAGCAGATCCCCAAGCCTTCGGGAGTTTGTAGTCCACAAAATTAAGATCCTTCCCCACCAGGTACCACTTCCCAACTCTTTTGCTTTGTTTTGTTTTGTTTTTTTTGAGACGGAGTTTCGTTCTTGTTACCCAGGCTGGAGTGCAATGGCGCGATCTCGGCTCACCGCAACCTCCGCCTCCTGGGTTCACGCAATTCTCCTGCCTCAGCCTCCTGAGTAGCTGGGAACAGGCACGCGCCACCATGCCCAGCTAATTTTTTGTATTTTTAGTAGAGACAGGGTTTCACCATGTTGACCAGGATGGTCTGGATCTCTTGACCTCGTGATCCACCCGCCTCCGCCTCCCAAAGTGCTGGGATTACAGGCGTGAGCCACCGCGCCCGGCCCACTTCCCAACTCTTACCCCCACCCCTCATCCCGCCCACACTCCACCCTCCCCGGAGTATCAGCTGGGGTTGGTGAAAGGACAGATGGAAAGGGAAGGGCAGGGATGAACTTTTGGCAGGGAGTAAAGTTATATAAAATGACATGTATGCACACATAGAACAAAAAGCAGTGATGTGTGGTAGTTGGAAATGCTTCTGGGTCAAAAACTTTCTAATGGGAATATATATTTTCTAAAACACTATGGAAATCAAAGAGTTGTAGCCAAAGTGACAGCTAAAATGTATGGCTTTCAGCTTTTCAGACAGCTAACAAAGCAATAGCTCTGGCAATCAATGGGCCCATCAATCAAATGAGGCAGTGCCTTGGAGGGTGGCTGTGGAGGGAAGGCACTTGGGTCAGGTGACCCTGTGCGGGTCCTTCATTTCCCTTCACAGAGGCAGAACCGACTAGAGTCCAGTAAGCAATTGCGTGGGCTCCTCACGAGGCTTTTCTCAGAAGCGAAGTTTTGCCTGGAAGTTATGCATGTCAGATGCAGTCATGCATTTTGGTTCTCACTGTGACTGCTGCAATTCTTTGGGAGGGGAGCCCCAGCAGTTCCCCATTACTATTATAAGGAAAAGACCAGGTTTATTCCATGAGCACTGAGTCTGATTACTTCCACACTGATCTGTACCCCTGTCTCCGGCCTCTCTCCAGCCCCCTCCTTGCCCCCGACTCTATCAGTTGCATAGCAAAGGGAGGGTAGAAGTGGAGCTTAGGACAGCCCTGGAATACACTGAGCAAGAACCAAAAGCAGGAGAAAAAGAAGAGGGTCACTTAAAATCCGAGAGATAGGAACAGCAAGTTTTCCATTTAGAAAGAGAGTGGAATAAATGAAATAGGGAGAGGAGGAGGAAGAACCTTCTCCAGTCAACCTCACACTGAGGATATCACTCAGCGGGAGAGGTTTAATAAAAGCTACCAGGCCAGCATCTGCCTGGAGATAAATTAATGCCAAAAACGGTGGGCTTAACAATTCTTAATTCAGTCTCTGGAACAAAATAAGGTTTGCAGAAATCAAGAGAAACTCTCTCTATCTACTGGGGTATAGAAAAAGATACAGAAACTCCAGAAAATGAAAGAAAAAAATTTTAAACCATATGTCTAATAAGTTTGTAAAGCAAAAACCACATCTGCTTAACTCACATGGTACCACTGCCAATTCAAAGCTATAAAAAAACAGAACAGGGAAAACTCATCAACTCATGTGATGCTTCATACTTGGGGAATTCAAAAAAGGACTTTACATCAGGCCAAAGAAAACCCAGAAAGGAGTGGTATGCTTTACTTCTGGAACATGGAGAAGCTCTTGTTATCTATGGAAAATTGATCCTAGGAATTCTATCTTGTCTTCCAGTCTCTCCTCTGAGTGTCTGACATATTACTTTAATTCAACAGTTTATACAGAATTGGTAAAAAGCCCTGGACCCAATCAACTGAACAACCTTCCTCAACTCAGTGAGTTCTAGTCTAGATCAAGGGCCATCAAGTTATAGTCCACAGGCTAAGAAGTTTTCACATTGTCAAATGGTTGAAAAAATCAAAAGAAAGATATGGTCCATTGCATGAAATTCAAGTTTCAGTATCCATAATAAAGTTTCAGTGCAACATGGTCATGCTCATTTGCTGGCATACTCTCTATGGCTGTTTCTGTGATAAAACAGCAGAGTTGACTAGTTGCAAAAGAGTCGTACAGCTGGCAAAGCCTAAAATATTTACTGGCTGGTCCTGTATAGAAATCGTTTGCTGACCCCTGATCTAGGTAACCAGAAACTCAACAGTCATAATAACTTTGATGACTGAGCCAGTCAGACTTTTCATCTGAAACTGTCAAGGTAGAAAACTTTTGAAAAGGTGGAAAGAGGATCTGAAAAGTGAAACAGAACTTGGGGCTTACTTCGAAAGGATGGGGACACCCAGAGGGGACTCACCAGTAGAAGTGCTCCTCCACCATCTTGGTCACTGCTCTGGAGATGGCTCTTTCATGAGGGCCAAGGTTTTTGTTTAAATTCACTCCAAGTTTCTCTTCCAGAAAGTCAATTATGAATTCTGTGCCAGAAACTTTTTCATGATTATATTCAATCCAAGGCATTTTCCCTTGAGCAGAAAGTTTTCCACCAAAATAGTTCTAAGCAGAAGTACATTTTTAAAAAGAGAAAAGCAATATTGTATTTAAATTCTACTGCATGATTAACAGAGACAAACATTCCAACCTTATGTTTGATAGTGACAGTACTCTTCAAGTGAATGAACTCAGGGCATGAACTCCTTAAGGCAACACATGGTTACTCTAGGAAAAAAACTTGTTTAATCTCACATAAAGATATCACTTTATTCTCCCATAGATTTTATCATAGACTTTGGCTTACGATGGAAAAGAAAAAAAAGACCCCAAGGGCAAGGGATGGTGGGGGTAAGGGGTAGCAGGTTGAAAGTGTTGAAATGACCCTGGTAATAGTCAGTCTAGTTTTAATGTACAATCAATTAAAAAACTCAAAAAGTAAAAATAAACCACAAGGAGGTGTGTATTGACTGGGCAATTAACCAAAGACCTCACTTGCAAACCAGTATCTCATACCTGAATAATACTTAATACCACTACACTGTAAATGAGCAGTCTCCAAAAATTATAATGCTTAGGTGTAACAAAGTATATACAACAGGGTCGACTACTATGCCTCTTAAAAATGCAGGTTCAGCCGGGCGCGGTGGCTCAAGCCTGTAATCCCAGCACTTTGGGAGGCCGAGGCGGGTGGATCACGAGGTCGAGAGATCGAGACCATCCTGGTCAACATGGTGAAACCCCGTCTCTACTAAAAATGCAAAAAATTAGCTGGGCATGGTGGCGTGTGCCTGTAATCCCAGCTACTCAGGAGGCTGAGGCAGGAGAATTGCCTGAGCCCAGGAGGCGGAGGTTGCGGTGAGCCGAGATCGTGCCATTGCACTCCAGCCTGGGTAACAAGGGCGAAACTCCGTCTCAAAAAAAAAAAAAAAAAAAAAAAATGCAGGTTCTTGGCCAGGTGTGGTGGCTCATGCCTGTAATCCCAGCACTTTGGGAGGCTGAGGTGGGTGGATCACAAAGTCAGGAGTTCAAGACCAGCCTGGCCAACATGGTGAAACCTCGTCTCTACTAAAAATACAAAAATTAGCCAGGCGTTGTGGCGGGCACCTGTAACCCCAGCTACTCGGGAGGCTAAGGCAGAGAATTGCTTGAACCTGGGAGGTTGAAATGAGCTGAGATTGCACCACTGCACTCCAGCCTGGGCAACATAGTTAGACTCCATCACAGAAAAAAAAAAAAAAAAAAAAAAGGCAGGTTCCCGTGCCCCAGCCTGGACTTCTGGATCGGATCAGAATCCTGGGGATAGTGCCCAGAAATCTGTGTTTTTTGACAAGCTGTCGTTGGAAGAGAGAATAATGGAGATTTGGGCTGATCTCTGCCTCCTGGTGTCTTTTTATCTCACTGCTTATTCTAAAGAATAAAAGTGGGCCTAACCTCGAAAAGGGTAATAATTATTGGGGACGTTATAGGGGCTGCTGTTAGTCACATTGCTTTTGTGCAATTTAGAAAATAGAACCTCCTCTGAGTGGAAATGGTCCATGCCAATGTTTGCAGCTTGGGAAGTAGAACTGGGTCAAGACTTCGCCCCCCTAACCCGGCCCCGGCACTGCTATGCAGTGAGCAACCTACACAACCATACATGGCCTCTCTAGACATTACCCCTGATGTTAACCAAGAGAAATGTCAACTATTTCTAAAAGTTGCTAATACATCTAATATTCTTGTAATCTGTATACTAAAGATGTAAATTTACCACATACCATAACCCCCTTTTCAGATTTACCTTGATGCCATCAATACCCTCTTAACATAAATACCCTCTTAACATATTCCCTTTCGGACTCTTGTCACTCTCAGATGCAATCTATCTTCCACACTGCCACCAGAAGGAACTGTTTACAATGCAAACGAGACCCAAAAACCCTGCTGCTCAAAATTATCCAATGGTTTTAATAGCTCCAGTCTACAAACTACCCCTTTTCACACAGCAATCTAGATCCGCACCCCTCATCTGGCCACTGCCCACCTGCCCGGTCTCATTGGCTATCAGTTCCTCTTGTCTCCTGAATTCCAACTCCCCCTACCCAGCCAGGTCAAGGCGTTTGCCCACCTCCCTGACTTTGTGCACTCTTCACCTTTTACAGGAATCCTTTTCTCCAGCCTCGGTAAAGTCCTATCCATGCTTTAAAAAAAATCAGTTCAAATCTCACCTTGTTAGGTAACTATTTCCCCAGGAGCAACCATTATTTGCCCTTCCTCTGTGCTTCCACTGTATGGTGTGTAGTACCCTATCCTTATGGAATAACTACTTACACATCTGCCCTTCCCTCAAGACCACCCTTTCCCCTGAGAACTTGTTACATGTTTACCTTGACTACCTTTTAAAATAGGAGTAATAAAAAATAATAATCAATTTTTATGGAAATGGAAGTTCTAGTATGTTTTCATGATCAACAATTATATTTTGATTGCTAGGTAAAAAGCAAGAGACAACATTTCAGAGACCCTCTGAGTACATCTAAGTAAACTTAGATGAATGAAAAAAAAAAAAACATTAAAAAAGAGAGACTCACAAATACTTCACTAATAACTGGCAAGACTAGGGATGAGATGCAGGTAATCTTTTTATCCCATACATTTCAATTTTTCTAAATGTGGTTGTATAATTTTTTAAATAAAAACTATAGAAACAGGATCTCACTATGTTGCCCCAGCTGGTCTCAAACTCCTGGGCTCACATAATCTGTCTGCTTCAGCCTCTCAAAATGCTGGAATTACAGGCATAAGCCACCATGCCTGGCCTAAAAAATAAAAAAATGTTAAAAATGTTGACTTTTTTTCTTTTCTCCCTTTAATTTTTTCCTAAATATTTTTATTTCAAAAAAAAAAAAAAATGAGACAGGGTCTAGTTGTGTTGCCCAGGCTGACCTTGAACTCCTGGGCTCAAGTGATCCTCCTTCCTCAGCCTCCCAAGGTGCTGGGCTTACAGGCATGAGCCATCACACCCGACCAAAATAATAATTTTTCTTAACTTCTTTAAATCTATTGAAGAACTTATGGACTATTTTTATTTAAGCAATTAGACTCTGACAATTCCACTGAGGGTAGATTCTGGAAAGTAATTTTGAGACGATGAAAAGATAAATCCTCCATATTTTTCCCATGCTTTTTCCATCTGCCAGTCTGCCCCAGATAAGACTGATACAGCCACACATATACTACATTATAAGCATAGCAGTGAAGGCAATAGGCTTTGGATTTCAAAATTTCATTCCATCATTTATTCACTGAGTGACCCTGGACCTCCCTGGGTCTCCCTTAACCATCCCTGGGCCTCAATTTCCTCATCTGGAGAGTGGAGATAATAATCAGATGCTAGGATGAAATGAGAAGATGCCTTCATCAGAAGTATTTAGAGATGAAGAACTTGACACTCTAAGAGAGATGCCAGAGTCTTGGGACTCTGATTTGATATACTGGCCACGGTACCCATAGGTTTCAGGTAAATATCTATTATATTCACTCCACCCTGGAGTTCTCTTGAGTCATTTTCCACTGGCTAAATTTGAAATAATTTGAGCTGTTTGTGTGGATTACAGCACATTGAAAAAATCCATCCATCCACTAAGTATTTCGTTTGGAATAAGAATGTCCTTATTTTTTGAAGTTGCATGTTGAAGTATTGCAAGGTGATGTGTCATGATTTCTGCAACTTATTTTAAAATGGTTTATCAAAAACATTGTTCACAGATATATATGTAAAGAGGGAGGAAAAAGCAAAGGAGGAGACATATTAACCATTCATGAATGGTTTGGGCATGAGGGTGTGCACTGTACTATTCTTTAGTCTACAGCTTAGAAAAAAAAAGATGCAGGAGGGGAGACAAGATCGGCAAACAAATACATCAAAAGTTAGGGCTGTCAGCTGAGGCAGAGAGTTCCAAAGGAAACATTTTCTTTTTTCTTTCTCTTACTTGAAAAGAATGATTTTCTGAAATGTATGCTTCTTATACAACTACTTATGTCAAATGATGTATGTGTCTTTATATATGTCTAGAGAAATCGAAGGAAGAAAAGTCAACAATATCAGTTATGATAATCTCTGGCTCATAGGATATCATATAATTTTCACTTCCACATACCCTTTTTCGTGTTGTTTGAAATTTTTCTAAGCTATTTTTTTTTTACTAACTACATCCCCAGGACCTCCCTGTACAGTGATTGCCATTTTCTATTAAGTCTATCATTATTACAAAATAAAAAGATTTTAAAATTGAACTACCAATATATCATGATAGAGAAAAATAATAACTGCGTTCAATACCTCAAGCTTTTTAAAAAATAAGCCATGCAATTTTCTAACTAATGGTCATCAAATATTCATTCCCATTCCATTTAGGTTAAAAAATTCAACAGCTTCTAATATTAAGTCATGATCTGAGGAACATGGCATTTTAATCTTTTTCAAATGGCACAGGCAAAAGAAGGGGCAGAGGGTACAGCTAACTGGGTCTATGGAAAAATATTTCTCTACTAATCAATCCAAGAAATGAAGTCCCCAGACACGCACTGCATCAATACAAACACCAACCAAGGAAACAGGGCTCAAGTCACCCCCGACCCCTACAGCAGAGCATCCCTTTCTAAACCACAGCACCATTTTTCTTTTACCTAAAATCTTCCACCCCTCTAGCATCACCCCCTCCATTTATTTTCCATAGAGACCTCACAGAAGAAAAACAAAAGCCCTATGCAATTCTTTTTTTAAAAATATACTTAATAAGAAATAATTTTAGAAGGGGTAAGCATGCCCCTTCTTGAAGACCTCTGTAATAGCTGCAGGCTTCACAGCAAGGCATGAGTCCTGCTGCTCCAGTTACACTAACTACAGGCAGCTGCTCTAAAATGTGAACAAAGGTAGACAGGCTGCAGGTAAAGACAGGTCTGCAGCAGCAGGGCTTGAAGGGCAGAAAGGAAAGTGCAGAAAAGCCTGACAGCAGCTGCAGCCACCACAATGACAGGATTATTTTATCAAAGGTCAGGGAGCACAAAAGATCTTGGAAGTAGTCAGAGACAGCAGTGCACAAAATTCAGGTTTTGGACTCTCACTGCCCCAAAGCTGTCATGGCTAGGTGAGGCAATCTGGTCAAGAGTGATGATGGAATAGAGACAGGTGGCTGTTGGGTAGCAATCTCTTCCTTCAATTTGAGTCTCCAAGTGACACATATCTTCAAGTGCAGACTGCCAACACCAAGCTGAACAATGATCTTTCAAATCTGATCCAATGCATTTAGATGCTGCAGGCCTTGTCTCCTCCTTTGCTGTCTTAGCAAATCAGTCCTGTGTAATCTTCTCCCTGCTGCTCTCTCTAGACTCCCCCTGTGCATTCCAGTTGCCAGTTATAAAGATCCCCTTTCTAATCCCTTTCTGTTCCCAAACATCCCATGCCCCAATCCAAAGTCTGAACTCAGTGCCACTCCACCATGTCCCCAGAGGACCTGTATTATAATACTTACAAAACTAAAACGTGTCAACATGTTGTCCCAGCATTGCCTTAGGAAGATCACTGCCAGCCCCATCCCCTCTTCTGTACAGAAGCTGGCTCAAAAAGCACAGGCTATGGAGAGTCAGGAGCTGGAGGGTAACATCATTATCTGGGCAGGCAAAAGCTTGGCTGAGTAAGGAGCCCACCCTCTCCAACCTCCCAGTTGGTCTGTTACAACCTGAGGAGAATACTTCCTCCCAGTGTTGGTGCTTTATAAGAGCCTACAGGTGAACCCTGGAGCTGCAGGAACCATTTGGGGGAGTGGCAGCAAAGCAAAAAGACCAGAGTAGTTTGGGGATGAGACTCACCTCCTTTCTTTTTTTAAACTCCCTCAGAGGAACAGGACACGTGGCCTGAGCTTTAGCCCAAATTCGCAGGCAGAGAAGTTCGCATCCCTGGTAAAAGGAGCTCTCAAACCAAACTAGCTAGATAAGTTCCACTACTATAAGAGAAGGGCAATGCCCCGAATTATATGACACAAAGCAGAATTATTGGGAGAGACCATAAAATTTAAGTAACATAATAAATATCCTCCAATGGATAAATGAAGAGATTACTAACACAAACTAAAAACATTAAGAAGAAAATACAATAGTTGAAATAAAGAACACAACAGATGGGGTAAATAGCATGATGGATACAAAAACAAACAACAACAAACACACACAGAGCAATGCAAGGGAAGCTCAGAGAGATGCCTGCTTCCAGAAAGCAGCAGAGAAGAATTCCAGTAGAGAGTAGAGAGAAATAGTAAATAGAAGCCGAGGTTCCAAAATCCAGATGTTAGGGAACAGGGAAGAAGAGGGGGAAGACAGATGTAAAAGAAAAGGAAATATTTTAAGAAAATTGATAATTCGTTTTCCAAAATTCAAAAGAGATGAAAGACCTCAGATAATAAGAGTTTATAAAGGACCAAACAGGATATAAAAACACCCACACCAACGCATGTCTTATTGAAACTTGAGAATATTAAGATTAAATAAATAGATTAAATAAATGCAAATTCTAAGAGAATTTAGAAAGAAAGAAAAAGAAGAGTGAGATTAACATTAATTCTTCTTCTTTCTTTTTTTTTTTTTTGAGATAGAATCTCACTCGGTCGCCCAGGCTGGAGTATAGGGGTGCCATCTCGACTCACTGCAACCTCTGCCTTCCATGTTCAAGAGATTCTTCTGCCTTAGCCTCCCAAGTAGCTGGGACTACAGACACCTGCCACCACGCCTGGCTAATTTTTGTATTTTCAGTAGAGCGGGGTTTTACCATATTGGCTAGGCTGTTCTCAAACTCCTGACCTCGTGATTCACTTGCCTTGGCCTCCCAAAGTGCTAGGATTACAGGTATGAGCCATTGCGCTGGGCCAATGTCAAATTTTTCAATAGCAACATCAATGTAAAAGAGACAGTGATTTTTTTCAAAGATGGGATTACAGGCACACGCCACTACCACCCAGCTAATTTTTGTATTTTTTAAAGAGATGGGATTTCACCATGTTGGCCAGGCTGGTCTCAAACTCCTGACCTCGATGAGCCAACGGCCACGGCCTCGGCCTCCCAAAGTGCTGGGATTATAGCCATGAGCCACTGTGACTGGCCTAATATTTTTAAAGTGTAGAAGGAAAAGAACTTTGAACGTAAACTCATCAAGTATGAGAGTATAATAACAATATTCTTAGGCATGCAAAGCCACTTAAGGTTTGCCAGGTAAAAGCTCACTCTAAAAATATTCATCAGGAAAGTTCTCAGATAAAAAGATAAACAAATCTTGTGACATGGGAAACAAGGCCAGTTGAATAACATAGTAAACGCTGTTGTCTAAAAAGGATAAAAAAAAAACAAGGAAAATAATTGCTAAAATTCCTTTTTCTTTTTTTTAATGGAGGCTGGCTCTGTCACCCAGGCTGGAATGCAATGTTGTGATCTTGTTTCACTGCAACCTCTGCCTCCAGGTGCAAGCAATTATCCTGCTTCAGCATCCCAAGTAGCTGGGATTACAAGTGCACACTAACATGCCTGGCTAACTTTTGTATTTTTCATAAAGATGGGGTTTCGCCATGTGGGCCAAGCTGGTCTCGAACTCCTGATCTCAAGAGATCCACCTGCCTCAGCCTCCCAAATTGCTGGGATTACAGGAGTGAGCCACCATGTTCAGCCGAAAAATTCCAGAATTAAAATCTTAGACAACAGCAACACAATTGGGATGAGGGCTGGGAAGAAAGGGAGAGACCTGAGGTACATGTAAACTGCTAATGTGTTTGTATTATAACAGGATAAATACAGATTTTAATACATTCAACAAAGTAATAACCATAAACACAAATTTGGGTCCTAAGAGTAAATACAATAACAACAAAAAGATAACTTGTTTTAAATAATGGAAAAAACTGATCTATTAGAAGAAAATGAGAAAAAAATGGAAATGAAGTATACTAAGGGGGAAAATATTAAATATTAGAAATAAGCTCTAATAAAACAATTATTCCAATAAGTGTAAATGGATTAAAGTCACCAATTAAAAGACTCTACAATTAGATATGTGAGAAACAAATACAAAGAGAGAGGGAGAGAGAGAGGATGAAGCAAATATCCTAAGCAAATATGAGCCAAAAGAAGGCTGGAGAATCTATCTCAGTATCTGATAACACAAAATTCAAGTTTTTTTTTAAATCAAAAGAGACATCGATGGATGATACATACAAGAAAAATAAACAAGAGTAAAAGATGTGGTCTTTTATATGTACCTAACATTGTAACGATATAAACAATGTATTTATAAGTAAAACATATAAATACTCTTGAATCAACAAATACATTTGACTCTTTTAACATATGCCTTTCAGAAGCTGCAAGTAAAAGATGTGGTCTTTTATATGTACCTAACAATGTTACAATATGTACCTAACATTGTAACGATATAAACAATGTATTTATAAGTGCAACATATAAATACTCTTGAATCAACAAATACATTTGACTCTTTTAACATATGCCTTTCAGAAGCTGCTAGAACTGGCAGACAAAAAAATAAGCAGAACTATAAAGGTCTAAATAATACACTAAACATGTCTAAGCAAGAAGATATATAGAGAGCTCTATACCCAAATAGAGAATATGTCATTATTTTCAACATTTTTTAAAAGGAACTGCAAACCAGGCTAAGGCTTCAGTAAATTCCAAGGAATCAATATCACAGAGATGATCTTCTCTGACCACAAAATTTTAAATGATAACAAAAATCAACACTTAAAATAATTCCAAATGGCTAGAACTTGGTTAAAAATAAAAACATAAGTGATCTTTAAAAAAATACATAGAATTGGATGACTGTGAAAACAAAAGCGTGTCAACTTTGGGAAACATAGCTCGAGCATTACTCTGAGAGAAATATATACCTTTAAGTACATTCCTCTTCCTTATTTACTGCTAAAAGGAACAAGTGTTTCCGTGAAAGTCACACAAACAGAACATGGAGTGCTGTGGGAAAGCGCTCACTACATATACAAATATCTACCTCATGGCCTACTGGGCCTTCTGCCCCCAAGATTCATTAGGGACAAAATAAGACGCTATCAATAAATTAAAACCTAAAAGAAAAAAACACATCAGGTAGTGGCACACCCATCTTTGTCAAGGACCAGTAGGCCTTGACAAACTATTAGCCAAAGCATACTTTTTTGTTGTTTTTTTGTTTTTTGAGATGGAGTCTTGCTCTGTCACCCAGACTGGAGGGCAGTGGCGTAATCTCAGTTCACTGTAACCTCTGCTTCCCAGGTTCAAGTGATTCTCCTGCCTCAGCCTCCCAAGTAGATGGGATTATAGACATGCGCCACTCCACCCGGTTAATTTTTGTATTTTTAGTAGAGACAGGTTTTTACCATGTTGGCCAGGCTGGTCTCGAACTCCCGACCTCAGGTGATCCTACCACCTCAGCCTCCCAAAGTGCTGGCATTACAGACATAAGCCACCATGCCTGGCCCAAAAAATACTCCGTTAAAGAAAAATTTCAAGGCACTGAATCTCTCAATAGTTTATACCTTTTTGATCCATCATTAAATTGGGTATAAAAAATCAACAGACCCTGAAATCAAGTAATTTATCTCCCTCTTACTAAGGACTGGGCACTGCTAGTTTCAGCTCCCATTCCCTCTGGCATACACTGTGTGAGATGAAATACTCCCCCTCTTTAATTAAACATTCATCCTCTGATACTGATGTCATAAGAAGAAAACATATTTGCAAACAAGTACCTGATACGGTAAGTCAGCCATCCTTAAATAAGTTTCCATCTTTAAACAGAAAGGAGATAAACTGGGAACACCATTATTAGGTCTTGCAAACTGATGCAAAATAATAGCATCTTTAGAGTCAATCTCTTGCTGTTTCCTGTCAAAACCAAAACAGAAATAAAGAACAATTCACATGTTATCCACATTCAGTTCCCTTACTTCTTAAGAGGACCCTGAGGGGCTGTAGCTCCTCAATGAACAAGCAGATCTGTCTGGCACAGGGGCTTACCTCACCCAGCACCCAGTTTGCCACAGGGGCTTGCCTCACCCAGCACTCATGGAAGCTTAGTCAAAACACAAGAGAACCTTACGAACTCCAATATTACCATGACCCTAGTGGCTCAGCAAAGTAACTACATAACAACCTCCTTCTGTTACCGGTGGCCTCTGGGCAAAAAGAACATTTTCTGGTATTGGTCCACCTCTTCTCCAGCTGGCTGTGTTTACTGCCAGGGACAGGCTGGATGCATAAAAATGATATTCTGTGCTTACTGTGTGTCACACATTGTTCTGAGGGTCTCATGGGCCTTACCACCTTTAATCTTCATAATAACCTTATGAAGTAGGTATTACTGTTATCCACGTTTTATAGATGAGGAAATTAAGACACAGAGCATTAACTTGCCCAAAGTCACATTGCTAGTAAATGGGAGAATGGGTACTGAACCAAGAAGTCAGAGCCCATCTTTTTGGCCATTAGACTATACCATGAAACAGTCTTCATCCATAAGACCCAAGAATAACAGTGCAGATTTGCTCTGCTATGAGCCAAGTCTGTAGGGAATCTGAGACTGAATATTCTGGTCCTTCTTCCCAACTGTCCACACCCTCACCTAACCCTTCTTTCACCTGTAATGCCATGGAACCTGCCTTCTGGATGCTCTCTCTCTAGCTCTGTCTTCCTTATTTTCTGCCTTTCCGGCATCCCCACTTTTACTACACAGCATGTATTTTAGTACCCCTGCTTTTCCCTTTTCTTCTGTCTCAGCCACACATCCATCTTTTCCTTTGGCTACTCTTTTGAGTGAGGAGGACTTCCCTGCATACAATCTTTCAATAACCACTACATAGTGGAATGAATGCTGGAGTCCAAGTCTGGACACCTGGGGTCAAATCCAAGTCCTGCTTCCTATTGGCCACATAGCCTAGATCTCTCCACCATCTTCACCTGGAGAGTGAGGACAGTGCCAATTCTGTACGGATGATCATGAGGATTTCATAAGGTAATACTGTAAATATTTAGTTAACTATCAAGCATTAAGTAATAGTGGAATTTATGCTCATCCAAAGAGACACAGTCTCATCCCTGCGAACTACAAAATCTCCTCATTCCTCACAGCCCCACTCATACACCACTCCTCAGGACCCTTTTGCAATTTCCATCTTCATTCAACCCAGCTAATTCCCAGTCAGATGAACTCCACTCTTCCTTCCCCTTGGCCCCACTTCTGGTTCCCTCGCATTGTTCCCAGTACAACACCACACACCCTTCTTTCTACCCAAGCAAGAACAAGCTCTTTATATCTTCATCACATGGATGCCCACTTCCTGCAGATCCCCATTCAGTAAAACAAACTCTCTTGAAAAGTTTACCACCCAAGGGCCCACTCAACTTCAGGGTTCAGAATGACTCATTTTGAAAATATCTGTCAAGTCAAAAAAAATAAAAATACTTGCTGCTTTCTCACAATATTCATTGTAAAAGAAAGATTTTCATTTAGATGGAATGTTTGGGAAGTAAGATATTAATATCAAGAACTCATTTACTCATTTAGACAATATTCCAAGACAGCACAAACTATAGACATGACAATTAATTGATTTTTGTTCAAATAATTCCCATCACAAAGTGGTATTTTCATGTAAATTAACCAGGCAAAAATTTCAGAACTGACAGGAGAGGAGACAAACATAAAATCCTGCTCCATCAGCCAGAACGATCTAATTCTAATTGTAATTTGGTCCATGTTATAGTAAGAATGGATGCTAATTTTCTACCAAGCATAGGCCAATGACTTTATATATTATATATGGTAACTTATTTAATTCTGCCAGTGACACCTTAGAATGGGTATTGTTACAGTTTAAATTTGGGTTATCATATTATACTATTTTATAGTAGATAAGAAAACTGAAGCTCAAAGACATTAAATAACTTGCCTAAGGAACATCAATTTAAGACTGACTCTGAAGTAACTCCATGCTCCTAAGCACTTCAAGGTCACCAAAATGGGCAATCCCTTGGTTAATTGTATTAAAACTGCCAGTTTGACTCAGGCCACTGAAGCCTGGAACTTTCTGATAAAAGTCACAGCTAACGATGGCTAACTTTTATTGACTTTTCACCTTGACAAACTCTGTTCTAAGCATTTCACATGTGTAACTCATTTCATCAATTGTATGAGAAAAGCTACCATTTTACAGATGAGAAAACTGAGTCATCAAGAGCTTACTGTCATATCCAAGGTTACATGGCTGGTTAGAGTCTGAATTTGAACCCAGACAGTCTGGCTCCAGAGCCTTCCCTTCAACATGTGAGAAACTCCTCTCTAATTTAGGATCAGAGGATTGGGTGGTTTGTTTCCTATACAGCTATATTTTATAAAGTGACCTTATCATAGGTTTGTACAAGAGGACACCCATAGAGCATTAACTAGCTAGTTTACTACTATTCCCAGGGCTAACGATATCACAGATGACTATGTCTCTGTAAACAGCTGATGATTTGTTAGTTTGCACAGATCAGATGTTGATTCACCAACTAAATCTTCTAGAATAGGCTGAGCCCATGTGCCAAAAGTGCAAATAAGCACTGGTAATGAAGTTATTACTTAGTCATTCAAACAAAAATTTCCAAATGCCTGATTGAATTTAAGATAGCTGCCAAGCTAGCTCCAGTCAGGGAAAACAAAACAGTGGGTTGGGATAATATTTATTTAAAAATATGGTGCTTAAAAAAACATGGATAAAACCTACTTTGGTTATATTCATTAATTAAACTTCCTAAATAATTCTCACCTGTCAGCTTTACTTTTCCACTCTAGAGACGTAATCATAGATTAAGGTTATGTCTATGCAGCAGAAAATCCAAGTAGGCTGGGGAAGAGTTTGCAATTGCCAGTAAACTCAGACAGGGAAGTCATTGTAAGGCGTATTTTCCATCTCACATATTTCAGATTTTGTTTTGTTTTCTGCCTAAATTATAGACTACTGAAACCTAGATGTCACCTTAAGTGGAGGTATCTATCATGTAATCTCTAAAGCCTTGGTCTTTGACCTTCCTGCCTGTCTTTTTCCCTTTGCCCCCCCTCCCCCCCTCCCCCCCGTTCCTCTTCCCCTAAAGTCTGCAAGAAAGGTACCTGCTACAGGCCTGTCTTCCCTGAGTAATGCTTCAGTTCCCATATTTCTCTCCCTCTTCCCCCTAAAAAAGAGATTTCAAAGTAGGAACTGTCTAAGAGGCAGTGGTTAAAAGAATGCAGGCTCTGATTTGAATCTAGACCCTGCGACTCTTACTGTGTGATCTTGGGCAAGTTGCTTAACCTCCCTCAGCTGCAATTTCCTTATCTAGGAAATGGATGTCAAGCTTCAAACAACAGTTGTGAGGAATAAATGCAGTCATACATGCAAGGCCCATATATGCAGAGTCCCTACTAAGTGTTCAGAAATGGTAAGCCCTTTTTTATTGTTTGCATTATTTCAGAGTTTTCTAATTCAACTCAAACATTTGTCCTGAAACATAAGTGACCAAGCATGGTGGCTCACACCTGTAAACCCAACACTTTGGGAGGCCAGGGAAGGAGGATCACTTGAGGTCAGGAGTTTGAAACCAGCCTGGGCAACATAGTGAGACCCTATCTCCACAAAAAAGTTAAAACAAAATTAGCCAGGTGCAACGGTTCATGCCTGTAATCCCAGCAACTCAGGAGACTTAGGCCAGAGGATTGCTTGAGCCCAGGAGTTCAAGGCTGCAGTGCCACTATAGGGACATTGCTCTGCAGCCTGAGTGATAGAGTGAGACTCTACTAAAAAAAAGGAAAAAAAAAAAAAAAAGCAAACATGAATCAACCTAGGATTTAACTCTTTAATCCAAATAAGCATCCAATGCTGAGGTTTATAGTCCCCTACATGACTTAGGAGCTATCTGGGGGCAGAGAGCTCTCCAGTCTCCAGTAACCACACCTTCCAGGGCATGGCTTACTCCCAAGCTGAGTTCCATACTGTTTCTGCAAGGTCATTTAAGCTGTTTTAAACTTGGTCCTGTGAAGCCTTCACTCCCTCCACTGCTGAGAAGCCTCGTGGTTTGGGATCTCCTCAAAGGCTTTAGACTAGAATACAACCGAGAAACAACTAGGTTACCATTAAAATTACTGCCCAAATGTTTTAGTTCTTCAGATAGCTTGAAATCTAACTTGAAATACAGTTCTAAAACTAGCATAATTGTCAAATAATCTAGAGAGATAATTTTCTTTAAATTGTTTTATTTGGTTCAGCTAGATTCAAGGCACTGTATTAAGTGAGAGAACTAAATGTGCAACAAGCTTAAAATAAACTTCCTCAAATATGGCTAAATAACATGAAAACCAATGTATTTCCCCAAACCTGAAGATTTCCCACCCTCTTAGAGATGGGAACTATTCAAAACACGTATTAGGCAAAAGACTTACATTAGGCTATCACAATAATCTCCTGGGATCTCTGCAGGCTAATACAGGTCACCTATCACTGTCTTTGTTTATAACCTATTGTGTAGGATTCCTCCACTGGAAAAAGGCAGTGTGGACACATTTCTCTCACTTTAGAAAATACTGGCAAAGGGACATTCTGAGCTATTGAAAACTGGGCTTCTGGTAATCTTCCAGTGACTGAGGGCTCAAATGCACGGAAATTTTAACCATTAATTGATGTATCAATTAGCCAAACGACAGTCTCAGTGCCGTGTGGTATTACTCTACCCAAACAAAAATCTCATGCCGGATGGATGTACCATCAGCAGGGGCCTCCATTTTCTGGTATTCCCAACTCAATCTTGTAAACATTCTGCGGCAGCGGATGCACCTGTTTACGGCACTGGGCGACTCCGTGCTATGCCCAACACGCCCATGTGCTAGCTGTCCTACTGCTCACACAACAATGACATCTAAGCCTGAGGATGGTGCTTGGTTTTCAATACCAGATAAGCAGAGAACCAGGTTAAGGCTGCATCAAAACTGCACACCACTACACTCTTGGTCATGCATCTTTAATAGGGACCCGCAGGTTCCTGGAGCTTTTGCAATTTTTCTCCCTTTTGATGTTGACATTTAGGGAAGGATGATGAAGAACTAATCTTTTAGATAAAAGATGAGGTTAGCAGTTAATATTCCAGCATTATCACTTATAAACAAATAAGGCATTTCGTAAGAGTGTAACCTATTTCTGCAGGGCCCAATTTCTATTGTTGCAAACACACTGCACTAAGATCCTCCTAAGGGCATTTCTTAACAGATAACGACAAGTGACCCAGAGCATTTCGGGAGACAAATGTTTTTTCCCTCCCAGCACCGGTTTAATTCTCCTTTCGACTGCAAACTGCCCCTCACGGCCAGGTGACCACCGAATGCCTTTAGGGAAAGGTAACTGCAGGACGCTTGAGCACCTGGGCAGCGTGACCCAGAGGCTGGCACGGACCCCCTCTCGCCAGCCCTGCCCTAACCAGGTGCCCCTCTCGGCGCCCCTGTGCGGGGCCCTCTCTCCGGCTCACCTAATGACCAGGAGTTCGTGGAGCAGATACGCAGCTGCGGCCAGCAAAGCTCCCCCAGTCAAGTAAAGGGTTTTCTTCCACCAGGGATCGGAGCCCAGCCCTGCCATGATCCCACCGTAATCCTGCAAAGGGAAAGCGATGATGTCCCCATAAAAGGAGAAGGGCTCCTCGGACCCGGCCCACCAGCCGAAGAAGGAGACGCTCTGGTTCCAGCTCAGATCCACCACGCACGGCCTGGACGAGGCAAAGCCAACCCCCCAGTGCATGCTGCGCGGCTGGCTCCGGGCGCCCCTCCCAGGGCCCGCGCCGCCCGCATGGGAAGGGGCCGGCGCGGCCCGGCGCGGGCTCAGAGGCGCGCGGAGGGCGCGGGCGGCAGCGACTGAGGAGGCGGCCGCACAGTAGGAGGAGGAGGAGGAGGAAGGACGCCGGCCGCGGACGGCGGGCCTGGCCGGCGGGGCCCCAGGGCCCTGGGCCGCAGCGGCGGCCGCCGGCTCACCCCGCAGCGGCCTCTCCGCCCCGCTCTTTGTGTCGGCGCCTGGAGAAGGCCGCGTGATGTCATTGCTCCCCGGGGCAGGGAAACAGAGGCGGGATAAAGTCACCTACCCCGCGCCCTGCCCCCGCCCCGCATCTCCGCGGTCCGGCAGCCTCCGCCGGAGCCGGAGCTGCAGGACTGTGGCGCGCCGAGCGGGCTCCGCGCCTCCAGGTGGCACGCCCAAAAACCGCTGGCCGCGCGCGGGCAAGGGCAGCGGAGGTGCCTGGAAACGCGGCTCCACCGCGAGAAAGCCGCAGTCGGGGCCCGGATCCCGGTCCTCCCCCACCCCGGCCCGCCCTCCGCCTGCGCTCCAGCCCCTCCCGCGGGCCCCGGAGCGGGGAGCGCACAGGACTCACCTGGGGCGCGGAGCTGCGGGCCGGAGACGCCACCCGGCGGGGGCTGGGAGCGTGGGCCGGGATTAAAGTCGGGAATCAGATTGTTCTGGCCATCAGAAAAGCGCTGTGTATTTGCATAATTTATAAAAACACTCTTATTACGTTACACAGTTACCTCGGGCTTGGCCAGGTGTTCGCAGAGACGAGATGTCTGGTTTTACAAATAACAGCAAAATTCTCTACCTAGAGAGATTTCTTTGACAAACCCAGTTCAAGCCTTTTCTCCTTGAACTCACTATCAGGGAACTCGCTGATATAAGGTTTTGCGGGGGAGGGGGGAGGATGCCTCTTTTGGTTAAGAAAATCTAACAACTGTGTGTGTGTTCAGTGTATTTTTTTCCTTTAACTTCATTTATTAAAGTTCATAAGTGCAAAGAATAGAAGCATATAATATATGCACAGATTTTAGCAAGAGCGTGGATAGTTTTAAATTGTTTGGAAGAACTGAAAAAAGAATCGGGCCATGGAGGTGCATCACTCTTAAGGTGGAAGGATGGATAAAGGAAACCTCCGGGCTTTTGCCTGAAGAGCAGCGATTGAGGCGAAAAAGGACTCCCTCTTTTTTTTCTTCTCCTACCACACCAGCTCCTTAGAACAGGCCATAAGTGTGGTCGTATTGTTAATAAATAATAAATACGGACATGTTGCCTCAACGAGACGGGGGACGGGGGAGGGGCTATTGAGCTGATGCCTAGGCGCCCCAAGTATTCCTGGGAACATGGGACCTACCAGGAAGAAGAAATGTGTGTGGTTGGAAGTGAAGCTCCCATGCGTAGGTTACAAGCAGTGAAACCCAGCAGCCTCCTGGGGTGACTGAGGTGGTCAGCAGACGGTCTTCCAAGGAGAGAGGCCAGAAGGCTACCTGGCCTTGTCTGTAAGAAGCAAAGTAGTTAAGTTCAGGACCAGAGCTGCAGTACTCTGGAAGAGAGAACAAGCAGAGCTGGCGCCAGGGATTCTCCATGCTCAGTCTGTGCCCTTCCCACAGGGCACTCAGCCTTTGCTCTTAGTAACCACTGAGCCAATATTTGAAGAATATAAGTTTGATATTTGGAATCACATTATTTGCGTATCTAGGTCTAGGCATGGGCCTAAATTACCTTGAGTGGAAGAATATGGAAGGCAAAAAGGAGAGTCGATCCTGACAAATCTTATGTCCCAAAACAAGTTAGAAACCAGAGGAAGTGTAACATTTTTATCCCAGAAAGCCACTGACTACAATTCACTCTCACTCATCGTGACCTGCCCTACGCACTCACGCAGGCCAGGGGCCCACTGCTGCTTCCTGGTAGTATCAGACAACTGTTGAGCTTCATCCTGTCTCTAGTTCAAACATGGTTTAGGTGTTTAGACGCACACTGCAGTAAACGTCTTTAAGAAGCAGATGTGGGCCAGGCGCGTGGCTCACGCCTGTAATCCCAACACTTTGGAAGGTCGAGGCGGGCAGATCACGAGGTCAAGAGATCGTGACCATCCTGGCCAACATGGTGAAACCCCGTCTCTACTAAAAAATACAAAAATTAGCTGGGCATGGTGGTGCGTGCCTGTAATCCCAGCTACTTGGGAGGCTGAGGCAGGAGCATTCCTTGAACCTGGGAGGCGGAGGTTGCAGTGAGCCAAGCTGGCGCCACTGCACTCCAGCCTAGCGCCTGGCGACAGAGCGAGACTCTGTCTCAAAAAAAAAAAAAAAAAAAAAGCAGCAGCAGCAGCAGATGTGGGCTGAGCACAGCGGCTCATGGCTATAATCTCAGCACTTTGGGAGGCTGAGGCGGGTGGATCACCTGAGATCAGGAGTTCGAGACCAGCTTGGCCAACAGCTCTACTACATCTCAAACTCCGTCTCTACAAAAAAAAAAAAAAAAAAAAAAAAAAAAAAATAGCTGGGCACAGGGGCAGGCGCCTGTAATTCCAGCTACTTAGACAGCTAAGACAGGAGAATCGTCTGAACCCAGAAGGCGGAGGTTGCAGTGAGCAGAGAGTGTGCCATTGCACTCCAGCCTGGGCAACACGAGCAGGACACTGTCTTAAAACAAAAATAAAATAAAATAAAAGGAAGAAGAAGATGATGATGATGATGGTATAGGTAAAATAAAATCCCACAAGAGAAACTAAAATGTCTTCTTAATCTGATGCAGATTAACTTTAACTTTTAGATCCATGGCATAGAAGAGACGAAAATGATTATTGCTAGGGCTGTATATGATGAAAGGAGGAAGAATAGACTAAGGAGTCAACAAATCTAGGAGCTGGACAAATGTTTGGTATCAGAAAGTCAGAACAGGCCGAGCATGGTGTGTTGGCTCACGCCTTTAATCCCAGCACTTTGGGAGGCCGAGGTGGGCAGATCACATGAGGTCAGGAGTTTGAGACCAGCATAGCCAACATGGTGAAACCCTGCCTCGACTAAAAAGATACAAAAATCAGCTGGGAGTGGTGGCAGGCCCCTATGACCCCATCTACTCTGGAGTCTGAGGCAGGAGAATCACTTGAACCTGGGAGGTGGAGGTTGCCGTAAGCTGAGATCATGCCATTGCACTCCAGCCTGGGTAACAGAGCAAGACTCTATCTCAAAAAAAAAAAAAAAGAAGAAGAAGAAGAAGAAGAAGGTCAGAACAAACCTTTGGGGAGCAAGGAAAGCAGCTCCAGCTGTGAAGGCACCGACTGATGCAGGCCTCAGCCAACTCTTCATCCAAGGTCAGACTGAGTACCAGAAGGAAAAACTGTTCCACAAAGGGGTGTAAGCCAGCTGCAGAAAGTAGCTCAGGGGCCAAAAGACTCAACCCCAGAGGAGTGATTGCAGTGGGATGAACTCAGCAGATGGGAACTGAACACAGCTGGGTTAACAAGAGGAGCTAAAGAGGCTGACTCTTCAAAGAATGGATCCTCAGAATCCCTTGTGTAGAGTCCCGTCCCAGATTAAAGCCACGGTAGCTACGCGGGACCCCCACCCTGAGGTTGAAGGTGCAGGAGCCGAGCATGTCTGCACCGCAGCTCTCCTCCTCAGGCTCCTATAGTGAGAAAATATGAAGACTCTGGCCACTAAGCTGGGCATCTCTACTTCGCCCCTTCTACCACCACCACCACTAATTCTGATGACTTTTTTTTTTTTTTTTTTTTTTTTTTTTTTTTTTTTTTTTTTTTTGAGACAGAGTTTCACTTTGTTGCCCATGCTGGAGTGCAGTGGCATGATCTCGGCTCACTGAAAACTCTGCCTCCTGGGTTCAAACAATTCTCCTGCCTCAGCCTCCCGAGTAGCTGGGACTACAGGCACATGCCAACATGCCTGGCTAATTTTTTGTATTTTTAGTAGAGATGGGGTTTCACCATGTTAGCTAGGGTGGTCTTGATCTCCTGACCTTGTGATCCCCCCGTCTCAGCCTCCCAAAGTGCTGGTATTACAGGCATCAGCCACTGTGCCCAGCGCATTAATTTTGACAGCTTTGATGCTGTACGCATGGACATTAGCTCCAAGCTAGAAGCAACTTATTTTTTTTTTCAAGGACTTTTTCTTAACTAACTTTAATTGAGGTGTTATAAGACAAGAAAAAAGAAGGAACTAATATTGATTGAACACCTATTTGTGTTGTATAGCTATTTTTTTCAAGTAACAACTTACATTAGATAAGTATTGTCATTTCAATTTTACAACTGAATGAAACTAAGGCTCAGAGGGGGCAATTAACAAGTTCAATTCTCAGAGCGAGGTGATGCTGGATCCAAGCATGTCTCATACCAGCCGCCCTTGGGCGCTCCACCACCTACATCAGGGATGTCCAATGTTTTGGCTTCCGTGGGCCACGCTGGAGGAATTGTCTTGGACCACACCTAAAATACATTAAGGACAGCTGATGAGCTTTAAAAATAAATCGCAAAAAAAAAAAAAAAAAATCTCATAGTGTTTTAAGAAAGTTTACAAATTTGTGTTAGGCCACATTCAAATCCTGGGCTGCCAGTTTGGATGAGGTTTTGACCTACATGGTCTCTCACACCAAGAACAGTGTGTGTACTGGAGCGCTGTCCATGGTATTCCTGCTTTACACTATCAGTGTAGGGCTCAGTTTTGAACTGTCTCAACTGAATAACTACAAAGTGTCAAATGCCTGCCAGTTATACTGTCACCTTCTGAAAAAGGTAGCTTCAGATATTTTCTTATGCAGATATTGGCATGTCCTATGTCACGAGGGTCTACAGCCTTGCCAAGACAATTGGGTAAAGACAACTAAATCAGTGTTTCCCAAACCTTAAAGTACATGTGTCACCTGGGGCTCTGTCATGATAATCAAACAAGAGACAATTAGATCACAGGCAATTGAGAAGGTGGGTTGTGAGAAACGTTTAGGACACTTTGAGTGTGGGCTTCTCAAATATTCCTGTGTATATGAGGTTATTTATTAAAATGCAAAATCT